ACAGCATTTAACAACAATAAATCTATTATGAATATTACTAATAAGCCCAACTTTCTAACATAAATTTACTTAACTTTTTCTCATAACTTAGGTTTACATAAAAGCCGGTACACAAAAGCTTACAGCAGCACTTTTGAAAACTGCCTAACACTGGAAACACCGCCAATGCCCTCCAGTGGAGAACAGGGTACAAACCAAGCAGATCACTCAGCGGTACAGCTGTTGACATGCAACCTGGAGGAGTCATAGACGTGGAGTGAAAAGTCAGTAGGATCCCGTTTACCTGACATTCTAAATAAGACCAAGCTGTAAGGGTGGGAGCAGACAGGTACCAGGGTTTACAGGGTTACTATACAGGGACAGCACCAAGAGTGTTGAGGCTGGGACTGTTCTGTGTCCTGATTGTGGGGGCGGTCACATGAACCCACACAATTTGCTTAATAGTGGTATCAACAAGGAGAGTGAGTTCAAAAAGTGCCCAGATACAAGAAGATAGTATATTTTTATCCAAATATGTTTGTTTGCCAAGCTCTACCCCCAAGACCTTGTATTTTCATAAGCATGTTATGCTTTTATCTTATTTTTAAGACAGTAAAAGAAAAATCAGCACAGCATGCTTATGAAAAGCCCAGGTTAGGGTTGGGGCGGGGGGGAAGCTTGGTTAGCAAATAAACACAGAATTTATGTGCTCATGACATAAAACTATGGTATACAAGTATTACAGTCTTCTCATACATCCTGGTGTGGCACTGTAGGATCAGACAAGGTCAGCAGCTCAAAAGCCACCAGCAGCTCCTTGGAAACTCTCACTAACAGTTAGAACAGACTCAACGGCACTTCACAACAACAACAACACACATCTACAATGGACACCTAGGGGATAAAATCCCATTCACAACAGTAACAAAAATTATAAAAATACCTTGGAATAAATTTAGTAAGAATTATGCAAGACTCTATGGAGAAAATTATACAGGAAACAAAATTGAGACACATTTCATGTTCCTAGACTGAAAGACTCACCAACATTATCACATTTCCTACAAAGCAATTCATAAATTCAAGGAATTCCAATAGGATCTTTTTGGGAACATGACAATTTGATGCTAAAGTTCATCTGGAAGAGTAAATGACAAGAGTTATAAGCTCTCTGTCAGAGAATTATCATCTGGGCTAGGAACCCTATAAATAAACAGTCACCTATAAATGTATGTGCATTTTCCCTCGCAGTCAAAAGCCCACATATATTTATGTTGTTAAGTACTATGGAGTCAGTCTGACTCATAGTGACCTTGCACAGACTACAAATCTTTACAGGAGCAGAAAGTCTCATCTTTTTCCCACGGAACATCTGATAGTTTCGAACCGCTGACCTTGAGGTTAGCAGCCCGAATTGTAACCACTACGCTACCAGAGCTCCTCATATATTTATATGTGACCGTTCAACTACACAGGTTTGAACTGCACACACCAACTTATACACGAATTTATTTTCCTCCTACTCTGACACGTGTGACGAGCACCTGCCAAAAACATCGTGTGGTGTGCATCATTTTTTGTGTGAGCAGTTACTGGAGCAACCAAGTGCTCATGCAGAGACAGTGAGCAGTTCAAACATTGTGCTCATCAAGGGTCAACTGTATTTCTTTACTGATCAAGAGTGACAAAAAATGGTTCAGACCTCACCCTGTCAAAAGGGAAAACTTAGGAGCCACAGAGGTCTCACTGTAAGTCCCTCAGAGGTCTCACTGTAAGCAGAAACTGAATCTTAATAAAACTGGTACCCTCACTCAAAGGGAAAAGACAGGACAGTCCCAAAGGAAAATGGCAATCCACATTAGAAAAAGGTCAGCCCCTAACACCAGTTGTCAACTGTGTGCACGTGTGTGCATCTTGTATGCAGAATTGGTCTCCACAGTTTTCAACTAGTTGAGTATGTGTGCATATATGTGTGTCACATGCATGCAAGAGCACTGGGCTCCACAAGGTTCTCAATGGCTAATTTTCCTTAAATAGATTGAGGACTTTCTTCCAACCTTTCGTTAGTGGTTGAGCATGTTAACCATGTCCATCACCAGGAGCCCTGTCAGCCCCCAAAGACATTCCAAATGAGTTAAACAGTAACAGGAGTGTCAGAAGACAAGAATCGTTTATAAATTCTTGGGACAAAGTAAGTTTGTCTCATCAACATCTGTAACCCAGATATAATAAACGAAAAAGAAAAGATTTTACTACATAAAAATTTAAAACTTCTCTAAAACAAAAGACATCATACAGTTAAAAGTAGTAACATCTAGGAAAAAATAATTCACAGAAATCACTAATAAAAGAAAAATGGATAAAGGACATGAACAAGATACCTAAAGAAAGAAAATATGAATGACAAATGCAAATGAAAAAAAAAACCACTCTAAGGAATTACTGATGTAAAGCAAGTTTTTTTTAATATTTTGCTAGAGATCAAACTTATCTACCATGTGTTAGGGCATAGTAGTACAAACCCTTTTGAGTGCTATAGGACAAATAAGTTTCATCCCCTTGGACCCAGACCTACAGGAGAACCCTTAAGAGAAGCGAGATGTCCAAAACTGTGCTCTGAAGATGACAATGAAACCATGCCAACACCCCGAAAGGAAATGAAGTATATAGCACATCCATTCACATACACCTGATCTATGAGTACTAACATTCAGAGATGTTTCCAACATAGCACTAACAGAATGTCCCATGAGTCTCTTTTTGTAAATAAACAAGAAGTGTCTATGTAAAAACCTGTTAGGAAAATATACACCAAACTGCTGAAAGTGAATCTGAGGAGAGACATTTCACAGAACTTTTAATTTTTACATGATAATGTTTACATTTACGATTCTGAGTCACGCCTATAATACAAAAATAAACACACAAAAATGAAACTGTTTTTTAAAAGTAGTAACATCTAGGAAAAAACAATTCACGTAAATCACTAATAAAAGAAAAATGGATAAAGGACATGAACAAGTTTTTTTAAAACTGAGAAAAAACTTAATCGACTCGACGGCACTTAACAGCAACAACTGTGTGCCAGCATTGTATGCCAAGCTCTAGCCACCTAAGTTACATAAAAGGGGAAGAGGTCTGTCTGCCACTCTCCTATTCTACCACACCTGGGACTAGTGGGAACTGGGTTCAGAGCTTCTGGGCCTCCTATCAACAAAGCTTTGAGCAAAAGCAGCAAGGACCACCACACACACTCACGCTGATGCCAAAGGTCAAGAACATCAGTTGGTACCTCAACAATAAGGAGTCAAGAAGAAAACCCACAGGGATTCTGTCACTGAATCACGAAAACCTGGCATAAGAGGACCTGCAGGGCACACTACTGCACACAGGGCTACCTGCTGGCGGTATGACTGGGCTGCAGGGATCAGTATTTGAAACCTAGTCCTGGTGCATCTGGTATACAGAAAGTATCTCTTTAAAAAGCATCCTTCAACAAACAGCACATGACGTTCCTCCACACTTACTTATGAAGCACTTAATGCATGAGCTGGAATCAACAAGGCAGCACTTAACAACAACACAAGGTCAGTAGTTCAAACCCACCAGCTTCTTGAAAACTCTATAGAGGGTCACTACGAATTAGAACCAACTCACCATCACTTTAGAACAACAATGCATGACAAGTGATGTGAGAAGGACTGACATCTACCCTCCAGTGTATGGTAGTTAACAGACCTGAAGGGCATGGTGGCTAATGTGAGTATGTGCATCTGGCTGGCCAGGAGCTTAAGGGTTTGACAGCTATTGTGCAATCCTAATTCCATTCTCTAATTTTATGGGAGCAGCCAATACGTGACAAGGGGAGTTTCTCTGGGCCGTGGGGGCCTGCATCCAGTATTTATAGATGTTCTGGCAAAGCTCACTCTCAATCCTGCATTTGTCTCATGGTCTAGACAATTGCCTGACCTGCAGATTTTGGATTCACCAACTCCCAAAAGCCAGGAGCCAGCTGCCTTCTACCAGACCTGCACTGTGGGCTTCATGAATCCCCACAGCCACATGAATTAGGAAAAATATCCAGCCTGTCACTTGCTTGCTCGACAATTGTGTGAGCCTGTGTCTTCCTGCACAGTAACCCACCAGACTTAAATTGTGAGCAAAGGACACAGAGAGATGGGGACCCTCCCTAAGGATGTGTCTATAAACACTGACAATCTGCTGATTGAAAAGTGTCATGAGCTCATGGCAAGTGTATCCGTGAAGTGAAAACCACTTTTACAGTGATGGCAGATCTTCACTAATAAAGGACAACAGAACACTACCCACTTGTAGAGTTAAGGACTGCACACACTCAACAGAACATTTCCAATTTTTTAAGTAGGAAACTATACAGTGGTCCCACTTTATCCAAAGGGGGTATGTTCCAAGACCCCCACTGGGCATCTGAACCCTTGGACATTCCATTATTTTTAAATTCTATTTTGCACTAACTTTTTTCTACCTCATATATGGTGCTTTCTCCTATACTTGTAAATGACAGGTACACAGCTTTGGGTGGGTGGCATTAACCCCTCAGACTCTGGCAGGGTTAGGCACAGCTGCTCACCCAATTATGTTTTCCAGTAGGCTCGCAATCCATCAGGGAAGGAGGAAGACACCTCCAGGACAGAACAGAACATTACCAAGATTTCCTTATATCATTTTCAGATGGCAGTACATCAGAGTCACTGAAATCACACACATCGAAACCATACGGGAAAGGGAACTACTGTATTCCCCACAACAACAAAATTAATGATTCTTAAAAAAAAAAAAAAAAGTAAAACCAAAGAATAAGTTTCTAACCTTTAAAAATTAGTTAGTTTAGAAATCAGCCCAAATATTAACATGCTCCATCCTTTTTCTCTTTCACATGTGTAACATGTATAACTGTAGGTTATTTTCACATGTATAACTACATGTTATGTCACTGTATAACATACAATGTTATAACAAAAATAACTGTAACCAGTACTTACCTCTCGGCCTGTAAGGATATGTCTTGCCAACTTCACTTTTGCAAAATTCCCCTTGCCAATTGTTTTCAACAGTCTGTAGTTTCCAATGTGCGGCTGTTCATCTGCACAGGAAGCTATAGAGTTTCTACACCGGGCTCCGGAGCGCCCACCTCGCGAGGTAACTTCTTGACGCCCATCTCCATGTGATGTGTGCTAAAACACAACGTGCACAAAGACAGGGAAATGAGAACACATAGTACTTACCAAGTTTTAAGAGTCTAGTTTAAAAAAAAAAAACAACAACAACCCACATTAAAAAAAAAACAAAAAACATTTTATTGTGCTTTAGGAGCCATGGTGTGGCACTATAGGATAAGTACTAGACTACAAATCCCAAGGTTGATGGTTCAAACACACCAGCCCGCCTTGGAAACCCTATACAGGGTCAATATGAGTGATGGCTTTAACAACAACATTGTATTTTAAGTAAAAGTTTACACGGCATGTTCATTTCCCATTCAACAACTCATACACAAATTGTTCTGTGACACTGGTGGCAATCTCTGCAAAATAAAACATGGCTTTAGTTTTAATCTAAATAAATCCAGCACATCAAAGGAAATGTGTTCACATGATATAAATGTATGAAGGAAACAAGAATGTATCAAGTGCTAAAGGTCAACTCAATGTTCAGAAAGGAGATATTCTGAGTATGTGACTGTCATATAAAACAAGAGTGACAGTTGTCATTAATGGCCTTTCCTTTTCTATAAGGTGTCAAATTCGTCACCACACAGGACAGCTATCTACCGACCAGATTAAGAATAAATACTCTTGTGACTTACTAAAGGCCAAACTGCTACTTAATGAGAAACCCAAGGGGAATCTGGATTCCCAATTTCTTACTACACTTCATTGTTGTTGTTGTTAAGTGCCATCGAGTTGATTCCAACCCATAGCAACCCTATTGTATAGGGTTTCCAAGGAGCAGCTGGTGATCTTGAACCGTTGACCTTGTAGTTTAAACGGCTTTGCAGTCCTGCACATTAACCCACAGTGCCACACCAGGACTAGGCTGCTAATAATAATTCAAATAGAGGTGTTTTCGTTTAAGGCTACAGCCAGACTGGCCCTAGATAAATGTCTGTTGACTTGAGAGAATGAGTAAAGCACACAATATGCTCCCTAAACAGACACCACATGGCCTCCCTAAACACCAAGGCACCAGAGTTATGAACAACGGCAGTGCACCATCCTGCATGCACAACCGCCAGGGGAGAGCCTTTGAAGCCACTGCGCTCACTGGTATGCTACCTGCTCAAGGAAGCTGCCTCATGTAACATTCACACACGCAGACTTTTCCAACCCTTTTATTATTTTTTCTCTTCTAAATTAAATGTAATTTTTTGTTGCCTTTAAAAAGCATCTTATTTTAAATATTAATCAACCACAATGTATGGGCCCAATATTAATTCCAATTTGAACAGTGTTAAAAATAAGATAATTGGGGAAATTTCAACACGGATTTGGAAATTATGATATTAATAAGATTTTTTTTTTTAGGCAGGATAAAGGTTTTGTGAGTGTATTTTTAAGTCTTCTAAAGGATTTCCAGAAGGAGCTTTGGTAGCATAGGGGCTACGAATCGCGATGCTAACCTCAAGCAGTTCAAAACTACCTGCTGTTCTCAGGGAGAAAGAGGAGGCTTTCTCCTCCCGTAAAGATTTGCAGCCTCGGAAGCCCTGCACAGGGTCACTATGAGTCGGAACCGACTTGACTTAACAAGAGTTCTTTGTGAAGGAAAATGCACCTTGTTTCGCCCTCTTTACCTGTAAAGACACACACACACAGAACCACTGCCATTGAACTCATTGCAACTTATAGCGACACTATACACGGTTTCAGGTACTGTAAATTTTTATGCGAGTAGAATGACTCATCTCTATCTTGAAACAGTTTCAGCCGCTGACCTTAAGCGGGGAGTTAGCAGCCTAGTGACAAACCCACAGCACTGGATTCTGACTAAAAACTTAAGAAGCCCAACTTGTAACCATATGTTACCAAAGCTCCTTACACTGGGTGGATGTTGTTGTTGTTATTAAGTGCCATCAAGTCGGTTCCGACCCATAGCAACCCTGGATAGGGTTTCCGAGGAGCAGTTGATGAGCTTGAACCACCAACCTTGCAATTCAAACGGCTTTGCAGTCTGGCGCATTAACCCACAGTGCTACACCAGGACACTGGGTTGATAGGGACGAGGTATTTAGACTTGGTTATCAAAACTGGGGGGCTATAAAGGCACAAAGTGGCTGGCATACGAAAGCTTTCATAAAGATGCTGAGGGTCAGAATGAGGGGAATAAAATAGACTCCCCATTGAATAGTTTTCCTCTTGTCCAGATGAGTCTGGGGATGATGGGGATAGGATTTTATGATTCAGTTCTAAGTGTTATCAGGAATAATGGTGATTGTCACAACTGTACATGTATGAAAGGTGTAACTAAACGGAGGCAGCACTTAACCAGCCATTTCAGGAATAGAGGACTCTAAGACCATAAGAGGGAAGAGTATGAGAGAAGTGAGGGATCCTAACCAGGAAAGCCGTGGCAACAGAGATGGTGACATATAGAATCAAAACGGCAGAGGATTAGAGGCACACAGACTGAGAAAGACAGTGTGCTTGCAGGCAGGA